CATGGTCTCGAATTCATCACAATATCCCCAAGCGTTTGAGAAGAGAAGGTGATCATTTCATAATACAGCTTCCTTCAACTCAAAAGAAATTTGCTCAGAAGAGATGCATTGTCTGTGCACAAACAAACGACGGCAACAAAGACGCAAAGACTCGGTTTATGTGTGGGAATGTAAGGTGCCTCTGTGCATGGTGCCTTGTTTCAAGGAGTTCAAAAGCTCCAGCAGTTCAAAAAACCATGTCCAGTGATTGTAAATTTGTAAATATATGATAGAACATTAGTATTATACAATATTTGTGCATGTTTATTGTAATAAACAACAGTGGTAAACAATAATATGATAAAAAACTTTAGTGCGGTTATTGTGTTCAATACAGTGAGTTTATATATATAAATTATATACAGTATTGGTCTCTCAGGCCCCAAATGTTAGTAGGAATAGAAAAAAATTGGAAAAGAAAGAAAAAACAACTAAAACAACAAAATAATATAATACGCGTATGTGGAATTCGTCGATGTTGCCGCCACCACATCATTTTCTACAAACTTCTTGGCACTGTATCTCGGTAAGTACTGATCAGATTCTAATTTTTTTTGTTTTATTACCTTCACAAAAATATGCTCTTTAATTCTGTAAGAAAAAATAATTTTTTTTTCAAAATTTCTTGGACACTGGTGCGTGACTTCAGATTTTGGCCTTGGACCCTGAAAGGGTTAAGGGCTGTGACTGGGACAATGCAGATTCATACACATTTTCTCTGATGCTGGACCAGAGAAAATGTAGTTTTCTCTCTGCCTGGCTAGCACACCTCCATAGCATATAAACATTGCATGTTTATATGCTATGTAATGTGTTTCTTAAATAATTTTGAAGAAAATATCATGGATGGATTAATGAAAATATCTATATTAACCTAAAATAAGACATTTAATGTGTCCAAGGGGTGATTATTATTACGCATTATGTATTTTTAGCGTCTGGTGTGGACAGTTTCCGAGCGAGGTACAAAACCCAGGGTAAAATTTCACCCAAAAAAAATGGTTTGAATCCGAATTGTACATATCCACACCAGATGAAATCCAGGGTTCCCCTGCATCATAAAACTTCAGTGGATTTTTTGCAAGATTATTTTGACACAAGTAAGGGCAGTTTGCTATAACATTTGCGGAAGTTATTAATGTTTGTCAGTACATATGCAGATTTCTAATGTGAAATTCATCATTACTGCACAGGATACAATTAAACTGAAGACCCGAAGAATTTATAGCATCTTGGGCAAAACCCTTTAAAACCAGCAGGTTTGGGAAATGTAATTTTAGCATCTGGCAGTATACGTACTAAATGCAGTTATTTGGGAAATGTGTCTTCATGTAATAAGGAAAAAACAGCTGTGTTTTGTAGTAAATTCTAACAAGGAGTTACACTGATATGTTAGAATTGCACCAATGTAATATATACAAGGTACTAATTTGACTCATGGCTACAACCCAGTTTAATTGTTCATCTTAAATCTAGTCTTCTCTTAAGATATTTTAATTTCTTCTTTAAACAGACTGATTTTCTCTCTTGACAGACCTCTCTGACCTTGATCCAAATGCTGATTTAAAATCACCGATTTCACTAGTTCATGAAATAGCCTTGAAGCGGAATTTGACAGTTACATTTGAGGTTATTCGCGAATCTGGGCCTCCACATGTTCGAACATTTGTCACGGTATGCATAGTTGGAGAATACCGAACTGAAGGTGAAGGCACTGGAAAGAAGGTATGTATCAATTCTTGTAGTTTGCATATGTAGTTACATATGTTTTTAATTTATATATTTATTTTTTTAACACTGTCTCCTACCAAGGTAGGATGACCCCCCCCCCCCAAAAAAAAAAAAAAAAAAATAGAAAAAGAGGATAGAACATTCACCATCATTCATTCAATTGTTGTCTTGCCACAAGTGTGCTGACATTACAATTCTGATGACCACATGAATTGCAGCATCTTCACCCTGCCTTTAGAGTACAGTAGGGCCCCACTTATACGGCAGGTTAGGTTCCAGGCTATCTCCATAAAGCGGAAATCACCATAAAGTGGAACACCCCTTTTTTTTCACTTATAAATGCATAGAAATACTAGATAACAAGTTTACACTAACATATATTAGTTAGCAATAGAACTACGCATAAAAAAACAATAAAAAAGTAAAATACACATATAGTACACTCATTACTTACCTTAAAATATTTGTAGTCTTAATCTAGGGTGAGATGAATAGTATTTATTGTAAGAAATCAAGTGTGGTATTTACGGTAGCCAGCCAGGCTACCATACCAGGCCACCCACACCCACACATAAAATACTATGACATTTAACCCTTTGACTGTTTCGGTCATATACACCTACCATCCGACTTACGACCTGCTCGACTTACGACCACTTGACTTACGACTGTGTTTTTTATGCCAAATTTCTGGGAAATAAACAACTATTTGTGTTGTACACAGTGTTTATCCTAAACCTTACAGTATAAAATACAGTACTAACAACATAAAAAGTAAAGTAAAACATGAAGTACCAAAATAAAACAATAAAATAAAGTCATTACAAAAATGTTTTGTTGATATTCAGTAGTAAAGTTTGACTTAAGACCATTTCGACTTACGACCAGTTTCTCGGAACCGAACTCGGTGGTAAGTCGGATGGTAAGTGTATATACGTCTTATGAGCCAATGTGTTTGATATATATATACAGTGGACCCCCGGTTAACGATATTTTTTCTCTCCAGAAGTATGTTCAGGTGCCAGTACTGACCGAATTTGTTCCCATAAGAAATATTGTGAAGTAGATTAGTCCATTTCAGACCCCCAAACATACACGTACAAACGCATTTACATAAATACACTTACATAATTGGTCGCATTCGGAGGTGATCGTTATGCGGGGGTCCACTGTATACTCAAAAATTCTAGGGGCTTCAAATCAAGCTGGTAGGTCCACATGAGAGAGAATGGGTCTGTGTGGTTAGTGTGTGCAGTGTAAAAAAAATCCTGCAGCAAGCAGTGCATAATGAGGAAAAAAAAACTCCGACCATGTTTTTGGATTAAAACGCCGACTTTGAGGTGTATTTTTGTATAGTATTTATGGTTGTATTCTTGTTTTCTTGGTCTCATTTGATAGAATGGAAAACATTTTATAAAAATAGAAGGCATTTTGATTGGTTTTACTATGAAAGGGATCTTGAAATGGAGCTCAAAGTGGCAGAAATGTTCGGTTTTTGCCATTGTTCAAGAGTAAACAAATGATGTCATTGTCCAATAAATGTCCAACTAGCCATTCTAATATGCAGTCATGAATGGGTTGCCGTTATTTATACAATTATTACAATATTGCAGTAGTCTGCATAATAGTAAATCTTATATTTTTTTGTGTGAATAAAAATTCAAAATAGAAAGCAAGAGTATTATAACAGGGGCCTAGAGACGTGACTGATGAACAGAGAAACTGTTATTTTAGTGCCGGGAATGTCTGCATTGTTCATTCTGGACCCTATTTTGAAAATGACAATATTTTAAATTTGCCTGAAATTGACCAAAGTGCCAATTTCTGACCATTTTATTGGGTAATAGAAATCAGTAAACGGGCGGTTTCTTGTACTCAATCGATAGAACAAATGGAGTTCTAAAGAAATAGCTGTGAGTTTGGTCGACTGGAACAACGGAATTGGCCAAAAATAGGGCTCAAAGTGGGTGAGATCGCCGATGCCTAAATGTCGCCAAGGTAGGCATTCCCGGAACCCAAGGCAACATTTATTTGTGTAATGGATGCCAAAAAAGCATTTCTGGCAGTAGATGGAGGCTTTATTGGATATTCGGTACACTGTATTATTATGCAACGGTTTCCCCCTCCCTCCCTCCCCCCCCCAAAAAAAAAAGTTAAATGGTGAAATAAGCAAAAATTTTTTTATAATCTCGTGAATCACTTGGGTTAAGGCTTGGCAACTTGTGCAAATAATACGAAAGTGATATAAATTTTAGAATATTAATGCTAAACTGCTAAATGGGTCTTTATATACTATTAATTATTCTCAGAATGAATGAACCCAACATTCTTGACACTTACAATTAGTAAATGTTGCAATGGGAAAAGTAAAGGTTGAATTTTCTGGATCTAAACTCTTGCTCAGTAAACTCAGGTTTCTTGACAAAAGGGATTTGTGATTTTTTCTTGCTGAATAAACTAAAACTTTATTTTCAGTATGTATATTTCATTTAAAAAACTATATTTATGTTTAGCTTTATTCAATGTAGTATTTTTTTTGGATACTCAACTGTAACATGTAAAGTTATACTAGGCCTCAAAGGCAATACTATTTTCCTTTAAGGGGGATCCTTGATGGTGGTGAAGGGCTGTGGAATCCAAGGAATTGGGAGCTTCTCTTCCTTTTATCAACCTGATTACCTTCCTAATATTTATAGTAATATAGGTTTAAGGGCTAATACATTACAGGTTGTTAAGATGGGCTTGAAAAAATTACAAGCAGGGTTTGGTTAATTAACCCTTTTACTGTTAGACCCCTGAAATTAAAAGTTCTTATTTGCCCATATTTCAAAAAAGACAATCTGAAATGGTAGGAATCTGTTGTTCTAAAGGCAGCATCTCCAAAAATATGAAATCTGATTTAACCCCTAAACGGTCCAAACTTGTATATCCATGCTTACGCGTAGCGCCCCAAAACGTATATATAGTATATAGTTTTAATTTTCCTGCCTCCAAATTTGGCCATGATTGGCCTGAGATGCCTGGTCAGCATAGAATGGGTCTTAACACTCAGTGGTGCACACATATTAATAATCTCGGACCATTTAGTAACTTGTGGGAGTCAGTGCCAGTAAATTGAGCACCAGCTAGAGCAGCATGCGCAAACACCAAAAAGGGGGGGGATTCACTGATGGAATATCACATTAACATCCCCTTTTATGAGGAGGAAGGGAAGTGATGTTAAACCCCAATTTAGGGTCTGTTCTATCTCTGTCTCTGTTCTATTTATCCCTATCTGAGAGTCTGTCTATTTATCCATGTCTGTCTGGTTCTCTATCTATATCTGTGTTATATGTCTCTCTTTCTCTTGTTTATCTGTCTCACAGGTACACTCAAATACAATTATAATAGTTGTAAATTACCTATGGATAACTTACAAAAATCTGAAGTGCCTCTACTGTGCGTTTAGATATAAAGAGGACAAGCAGACAGAGAGACAGATAATCAAAGGACAGAAGATACAGCCTCATCAAATGTCATCCCTTATCTCTGCACCCTAAGCTGGCACCATCAAAGTATAGCTTATCTCCTCTTTATCTCTGTACTATCTCATCTTATCTCTCACCTTGGTGGCACCCACCCATTCATGTATCATCCTATATCTCATCACTGCCCTCCCGGATGCTTGTCAATTGCTTCAAGGGAGCTTCTTCCTTCTTCCTCTTGCTCCTTCTTCCTTTTCCCTCTTCCTTCTTCTTCTTCTATACTACCATGTATCCAAAACATTGCTGGGACCTATAAATACTTTGTATATATTCCTAGACATAGTAAATGGACCAAGGCAGGTGTAAATGTCCACCTATCAATGTGTTTGTGACAATTTGAGTACAATTTCGGTTACCTAATATTAGTGCCAGAACAAAGATTGGTTATGAAATGCCAAAGAAATACAATAAATTGTAAATATCTCTGGGAGGATTCTGAAGAGAAGTAGCAGAGATTGGTGAAAATGAATTTGGGGTAGGTTGTGTGCAAAAGAAAAAGAAAATTAAAAGTGTGATTACAGGAAAAGAGTAAGGTTTATGAGGGATAACAAAAGATTTGGTGATTGAAAGATTTGATATCAGATTGAGGGGAGAGAGTATGGAGTAGGAGTGAATGTAGTCAGATATTTGGTGATGGACGTGTCAGCGGATGGGTCATGAAAGATGAGGTTTGAATCATAGAATTGATGAGGGGAAAAAGGGGTCAGTGGTGCACTTAGAGGTCTGTGGAGAGAAGAACTTTGTCCTTGGAGGCAGAGGGGATGTATGAGAGTATAGTTTTACCCAACGCTCTTATTATGGGTGTGAAGCTTGGGTGATGAATGTTGCAGCGAGGAGAAGGCTGGAGGCAGTGGAGATGTCATGTCTGGGGGGCAATGTGTGGTGTGAATATATTGCGAGAATTCTTATTTGGAAGTTAGGAGGAGTGTGGGTTACCAAAACTGTTGTCCAGAGGGCCTCTGAGGAAGGGTTGTTGAGGTGGTTCGGACATTAGAGAGAATGGAGGCGATAACAGAGTGACTTCAAAGAGGGTTGTCAGTCTGTAGTGGAAGAAGGCGGGTTAGGGGTTCGGCCTCCTTGGAAAGGTTGGAGGGAGGGGGTTTTAGAAACGGAGGTTTGTGTGCGAGGGGCTTGGACTTCAGCAGGCATGTGTGAGCGTGTTTGATAGGAGTGAATGGAGACAAATGTTTTTAATACTTGACCGTGCTGTTGGTGTGTGGCAAAGTACATTTTTGAAGGGGTTCAGGGGAAACCGCAGGCGGACTTGAGTCCTTGAAGATGGGGATGTACAGTGCCTACATCTGAAGGAGGGGTGATATTGTTGCAGTTTAAAAACTGTAGGTGTAAAGCACCCTTTGGCAGACAGTGATGGAGTGAATGATGGTGAAAGTTTTTCTTTTCGGGCCACCTGCCTTGGAGGGAATCAGCCGTGTGATAAATAAAAAAAAAAATATAAAAAGGAGAAAAAATGGTTATATCGGCAACACTTCCTCAAGCGGAAGGACTGATGCTGCGTCA